ATATCTTATAATGTCATCTAATTTAAAATATATTATTGACAACTGTAAGAAAAAATAGTACATTGCATAATTTATAATGCAATGTTTTTTCAAAAATCTAGTTTTTCAGGTTTTTAAAATAAATTTAGTGGCAGAGCTTGTTAGTAGAGAGAGAGAGTGATAGTTATTTCAAATAGCCTCAGTGTATATACCCTATCTTTAAATTAATATTCCTAAATTTATGTTAAAGTCCACCATGTTATAAAAAAATAAAAATAATTAGGCTATTTATTCCTAAGTAAAAAAAAAATTCTAACAATAGTCATTCATATATGCGAGAGAAAAAAAGAGCTAACATGCTTCAAGCCTATATTGTATTACCTTTATATATCTAATTTAAGCTTACGATAATCGCAGCTCAAATGCGTGTTTGAAAGACATGATACTTGTTGTGTTAGCTTTTATTTATTTATTAACAAGAAATACTTGTTGCATTACCTTTTCCTTTTTTTTTGACAAGAAAAATAAGAATATGATATTGCCTAGTACCTTTTATTTTATTTTTTGACAAAAAGAATTTTTTTTTTACAAGAATTTATTTTATTTTTTGACATAAAGAATTTTTTTTTGACAAGAAAAATAAGAAGATGGTACTTTTATTCTATTTTATTTTTTGAGAAATTAAATTTGTTTTTGACAAGAACAATAAGAAGATGGTACGTTTTATGTTTTTTTTAAAAACAAAATGATGCCCGAGAGAATTCGAACAAGAGACATCTACCATAAAAAACGGACATGATAAGCACCACGCCACTTATTGTGATAGCCTTCATATTAAATGAATATATTACCTTTTCAAATTGGCAGTGGGAATTGTCCCACAACGAAAAATTCAAGTACTGTTAATAAAAGACCTGAGGACGCTCTTATGAATAACAAATGCATGGGCATGGGGCCTCTTGGTGGTCGTGGTGACTATCAATAATAGATTAAACCATGTTTTGAAAAACATTATCCCAAATACCCTCGGGCGGTTTACTATTGAGACTCGGTCGGACTCGCCGGTTTTCCTGTAGAACCGGGCAGTTTATTGTAAAGACTCTGGCAGACTTGCCGATTCTTCTCTAGATTCGCCCGATTTCCGATATTGTACAGGAATCGGCACGGGGTAGCCGATTCCCGTGTCGACCTGGGAGATTCCGGGTAGATTCGACTCGCTGATTTTTAAATCCCTGTTTATGACTATGTATTATTGTTCTTCACTTCTGGTTTAAACTTGATTTTGGCAATTTGCTTCTGGCTTGTCGATTGACATATTTTATAGTCTTTGGGCAACTCACTGCTTTATCATGCATGTCTATATTTGGTATGATTGGAACTTCTTGACATATTATTGTTCTCTACTTCAAATATTCTCTGTGGGAAACCATATTTATATATGAAATATTATTGTTATTAGTTTTTACACCATCTTGTATGGTGGGATTTCATCAACACACTCAGATTGTATCAAGGTGGTCAAGGATTCAACCCTTGAAATTTGTTCCCAAACAAAGCCAAGTTGACCTAGCCTTTTCTTTCGTTACACCATCTTAATGCTGTCATCTAAATGGAGTCAAAATGTTAATTAACTTGTTTTTCCTGTTTCTTCTCAAGTTTCTGAAGGTGCTTCAGTGTTTATGAACTCATTTTGGTTAGGATTTTGATTATCGCGTAGATGCTCTCTCTTTCATCTAATGCATTATATGCATCTGCTTCGTTACTTGAAGTGAACAAATCCATTGTAGCCCTTGAAAAAGAAATTGACAAAATAGATGTATGAAGGAAGAGGGACAAATACAATTGTAAAGGACTTATATGCAATTCATTCACTTTTAATCTTATTTACCGAACTAATATGCAACTCATTTGCATTTAATCTAGTTCGGCTTAACTAAAAAATGCTTAAAATCTTTGCGCTTGGGGCAATAATGTCAGTAATGAAGTTCCACTGAGGCAAGTCAATTGCTGGTTGTGGACTCTTACTGGACCCTTCTTATGCCCAGATTATTTCTGGACTTTGAGAAGTTCCTGAATGGCCTACTAATTAGGGCAAGATTTCCCTAAAAGAACTTGAAAAAAAAAGCTTAAAAACTGCAACAAATGCCACCGAGGCAAGTCAATTGCTGGTTGTGGACTCTGACTGGACCCTTCTTAGGCCCAGATTATTTCTGGACTATGAGAATTTCCTGAAGGGCCTACTAATTAGGACAAGATTTCCCTAAAAGAACTTGAAAAATTAAAAACTGCAACAAATGTATTAGTTGTGGAAAGGAAAAATTTGGGATAGAAAATATATAGAAACATAGTCAGTCATGAAAATCTATGTAATTTCTTTTTTGATCAATAAGACTTCTTCAGCTAGGTATTTCTGCAAAGACAAGCCAAAGTAATACTAAAAGAATATGTCATTGTTAATTGTAGGGCATAGGAGGCTTAATATTTTCTACAGCCCCATAAATTTGAACCCACTAAAATCATGCCAAAAACCTGAAAATGTAAAATGAAGTAAAATTTATTATTATTACTATGTTTCTTTGTAACAATATGGGGTTTACAGAAACCTTGGCCCCTTCTTCCTTGTCCAGACTTTTTTCTTAATGCTGAATGATTCCTTGCTTCAACTTTAGAGTTTGATTTGAAGTGTTTTTCTTGGACGGAACAGAACCGAGTGTGCTGATGTGGATGCTCTTCATCTTGAGCCATGGCTTCTGAATTGTTAGGCCCGTGCGGGTTTTGGCATTTTAAATATAAATATGCCGTGGGTCATTGCGTCTTATATATCCATTGTTGCTTGTTTTTTTCCAATTGTTTACTTTCACTAATTTATTTGGACAACTGTTAATATTATTTCATTGAATTCTCATCTAGGTATGGTGCTTAGTGTAACAAGTATCTGGTTATTTCTTTTTCCTTTTTTTTTTGGTATTCTTATCTCATTTATGGTGTGTTTGTTGTTGACTCTTTCCCTGTGACAGGAAGATGGCCAGGAACTTGTTTCAAGGCTTTTAAACCATTTGATGCATAGTGAGAAGTATGGGGAACGACGAGGAGCAGCATTTGGACTCGCTGGTGTTACCAAAGGTTTTGGGATCTCTAGCCTGAAGAAATATGGAATCATGGCCATCTTAAGAGATGGTCTTGAAGACAGGTTTGCAATTTCTCTTTAACCTTTTATTCTTTCTTGTTGCAATGGCCTATTGGGGTTTGGAATCTGTGAGAAGTTCTTTTGATTTTTATAAAGGTTCCTCAAGCAGTTTGTTGAACTGGGAGGTACTATTTTGGTGGTAAATATGGGAGACTAGGTAAAATTTATAATATCGGAGAAGTTGTCTCATTCTGTCCATGAATTTGAATCCGTATATACTATGAGTGTTCGTTTCAGAATTGATAGAGGAAAATGCCATATGACTCAAATAGGTCTTCACTTTTATGCTGTTAAGATACTTTTTAGGCAGTTTTTTTGTGAATATGTGATTGTCTATTTCTGGTCCAACCTTGTGGATGATTGCACATTCCACTCTTGCACCTAATGCATGGTTATTGTGATGTTTTACATTGATTATGAAGGTGATCCTCTCTTTCTTGATGATTCATGTGTTGTTGGTTTGATTCATTACATTTTTTATGCATTTTGGGCTGTAATATTATTTTTGTTGACCACATTCTAGCCTTAGTGAGCAAAATTCTCCTGTAGAGTTGTGATTGGAGATCCTCCATGGTCATGATACTCATTGTAAGATCCCTTTGATGTGTTTTGTTGGGGCATCTATGCTGTAACAGATTTCACTACATAACAGGAGAAAAAGTTGCGGGTTACATTGGTTGCCCATGTAACATCTATGTTTTACAAGTCAATAAATTTACATGGTGTCTTATCTTATGATATATGGTTATTTATTATTATGATATATAGTTATATACTGGTATATTTGCACTTTTTCATGTTGTCTGATATTGCTGTGTGATTTTATTTATGACTATTGTTCTGAACCATTTATGTAAATTTGCACTTGAATCCCTGCTGGATACTAAATTAGTATTGAATGGCTTTGATATTATACACAGGAATTCGGCGAAGTCGCGTGAAGGAGCATTACTTGGATTTGAATGCCTCTGTGAGAAGCTTGGTCGACTATTTGAACCGTATGTTTACTCTTCTTGTCTACTTAGTTTTAGCGTTGCTGACTTTTGCATGACTGACTTGTTTGGTTATGTTTCAGGTATGTGATCCAAATGCTACCTCTACTTCTTGTCTCTTTTTCTGATCCAGTTGTTGCTGTTCGAGAAGCTGCAGAATGTGCTGCTCGTGCAATGATGTCTCAACTAAGTGGTCAAGGCGTGAAGCTCGTTCTTCCATCCCTACTTATGGTACACTATTTAATTCTGGGAAGATCTATGCTGCCTTCTTTAATTTGTTGTTGTCTATTGCATGATCAGTCATTGAAAATTAATGCTTTTCTTATATATTTGTCTTTTTGTTGGTAAAAAAGCCTTTTTTTTTTTAATAAGAAATAACACTTATCAAGCGGTACTGTTCTGGTTGAGGCTTTAGTTTGTGGTTCTTTGTTTTGGTTTATTGGTTGTTATTTTTAAATTTTGTTTGGTCTTCAAAGCAATGTCTTGCTTAGAAGACATAAAAATAAAAGAAAGGGTTGGTCTTTTCTTTCAACCAAAGATTCCATAGACTCCTTTCGAAAACTAGTTTGAGTGTGATGAATTTGTGGACGGGATGAACATCACAATTTGACTAGATTAGTTCTGTAACCTATGTAAAGTTGCTTCCATTTGGTTTTGATAGCAGCCAAGGGGTGCCTATTATTTTGTTCGCAAATTATTCTTGGTATTGGGTATAAATCTAAGCCAAGTAAGTTTTTTACTGCATAGGTGTTCTTGTATGCAGTCTTTCTGGAAGAAATTCAACCGTCTAAAAGTCAGGACGACATGTTGAAGTAGTAAGGAGTTGAAGGCGAACTCTATAACCCCATAGGGATAGGCATCCAGCTCTCTCTCTCTCTCTCTATGTGTGTGTGTGTGTGTGTGCATGTGCGTGTGCGTATGCGTATGCGTATGTATGTGTGTGTTACAAATGAGTCAGTTTAGTCAACATCTTCAAAAAAAAAGTCAGTCATATCAGAATACTACACTTGTACATGATAAATATTTCAAATAGTGCCTCTATACATGATGGTTACAGAAGCCAAAATATATTCTACTCCTGCGGGAGTAGAATGTCCATTTACTCCATCAGGTAAAACCCCACTTAGAATTAATTTAGGACCCCAAAGTTTGGGATGTAACATCTTCAACCCATAGATTAACCTCAATTAAGAAAATTCCCTAATATGTATGTATGTCTCAAGATTGTATAGAGACGATCCAATTTGTAGATGGTGAAATCTACATGTTAGAAAACTCAAATTCCAATTTGCTTTTTTTTTTTGGGGAGTATAATCATCTACCATTCTTTAGTCGTTCCCAAAATTTGAGATTGTAAAAGTCCTCCCAAGTAGGTCTTCTGACAGAGGCAGTAGAAGTAAACTGTGCTCCCGAGGGAGCATTCTATACTTTACAGAAATTACATCATTGTCTTTAGACTCTTATTCCTAACATCCCCCCTCAAAGTGTGCAAGTTGTAAGATCATGGACGGTGGCTTTGAGAAACCAATGTTTGAGAAGGCTTTGACCATAGACACATTGCTGTGAGACAGAAAGGCGAGTGTTGGGGTCTCCTGCCCAATCTGCATCGGCTAAGGCAAAGATGTTGGTGAAGAGGGTATGACAGGACAAGAATAAACAAGTCCATCGGTGGTTGTTGCTTTGATATGCCAAAGAATGCATTTCACAGCCTCGATATGGCTCGTCCTGAGTGAATGTTTTTATTGTAATCTGGTTCACAGAAAACAAGATATCGGGCCTGATAAAAGAGAAAATTGTATTGCTCCAGCGGTATTCCTCAAGAGGGGGCAATAAGTTCCTCGCGTCATCTTTGAGGTTATAGTTAAGGTGGTATGGTTTGCACTGGCTTAAAACTCTAGCATGCCTGTACGCTTGAGCAAGTCAACAACATCCTTTTGTTGGGTCAAGATCATGGAATCTAGCCTTCTATGCCATAGTTTCGGGGATCTTGGTGAAGGGGTGGCATTCCCCTCTTGGAATCTGGTTACGGCGATCCGGGAGCTGGAGCTTGAGCGGTACTTGCTTCCTCACATAAAGGGATCTTGATCCCTACTTATTGGGATCTTCGTACCTAATCTAAAGGGATCTCGGTTCCTAATCTAAAAGGATCTTGATCCTTGACTTCAAAGGACCTTGATCCCTATCAATGGGGGATCATGACTCCTCAAAAGATGGATCGCTTTTCGAATATGACGGGTCAATTTTAAGGGTTTGTATGCATGTGCTTGTTACCCCTGATGGTAATGAGTTCATAGTCCATGAGAAATCTTTTAGTATTACTGATATTGATGAGTTTATAGTCCATGTACTCATTTCAATTATGTAGCATTGCCCATGAGAAATCTTCTAATAATACTATGTGACTATCAACATTAATTTAAATCAACTATATCAATGTACTTTATTACATAAAATACTATGTATATGCTAATAAGTATACAATCCATGAACTCATTTCAAATATATAGCATAGTCGATGAGAAATCTTATAGTAATAACATCACCATTAATTTAATTCCACTAAACCAATGTACCTTAATATAAAGAATACTAAGCATATGGCTTTTTAATTATTAACATTTCATGAATTAATTTTTTTAAACAAAATGTCTTATATATCTTTTTATGGTTCCTACACAATTGAGGGTTTCTTTTATTTTATATTATTTAAAAGTGTTTGAAAGTAATGACATTTTTCATTTATTTATTTTTTCTCATAATTATCATGATTAAATTTTGGTTTATAGCACAAAAGCTTTTATGGATTTCGTAATTACATGTATGTCTTTCATCTCAGAAAAATTAATTTAATATCATTTCAAGCATTTAATGCATCTCACTTCAAAGCCTTCTTAAATCTATTTCTTGATTTTTTAATTATTAAGATTTCATAGAAATATTTTTAAACAAAATGTCGTACCTATCGATTTATATTTTCTACAATTGAGGGTTTTTTTTTATATTATTCAATGTTTTAAAGTGGTGATATTTTTCATTGAATTTTTTATTCTCTTAATTTTCATGTCAAAATTTTGGATGATAGTACAAAATCTTTTATTGGATTTCGTACTTACCTTCATGTCTTTCATTTCCTAAAATATTAATTAAATATCATGTCAAGCATTTAATGCATCTCACTTCAATTCTCCCTTAAATCAATTTCTTGATATTTAAGATAATACAAAGTCTTTCATTGGATTTCGTTCTTGCCTTAATGTCTTTCATTTCGTAAATTATTAATTAAATATCATGTCAAGCATTTAATTCATCTCACTTCAATTCTTCTTTAAAATCAATTTCTTGATATTTAAATTATTAAGATTTTATAGATTCTATTTTTTAAACAAGATTTCTTATCTAGCTATTCATATTTTTTACAATTGACGAAGTTTTTATATTAGTTAAATGTGTTTGAAAGTAATGATATTTTCCATTTAATTTATTTTATTCTCTTAATTTTCATGTCAAAATTTTGGATGATAGTACAAAATCTTTTATTGGATTTCGTACTTAGCTTTATGTTTTTCCATTGTTTAAAAATTTATTTTGTATCATTTCTAGCATTTAATACATCTAACTTCAAATCTTCCTTGAATCTATTCTTTGATTTTTTTTTAATAAACTTTTTACTATAGTATATATTTTTACACAAATCACTCTTTAATTTCAAATAAATCATATTATTAGTAATAGAAAATGTACTCTTTGGACTTTGTGCCTCACTTATGTCTATCTTGTGTTTATACTTTTATTTTTAAAGGGTGTGGTTTCTATAAGGTTGAGGCCCTAAATAATCAAAGTTGTGCATATATATCTACACACACACACACACACACATTTGGGGCGCTTCCCCTGTGCTCCCATATACATGTTGTTTATAAATACGAGATTGCTCCCTAAGCGGAAGAGGGTGAAGAATCTGGAGAGAAGGTAGCAGGAGTACTTATCAAAATCATGGCCTTTGAATATCTCATCAATATTGAAGAGGTGGAGCATTCAAAAAATTTGGGGCCTTGGATTCAGAGTAGTGCAGTGGAAGTGTGGTCGACGCAACTGCAAATTATAGCCCTGATTTCAGAAAGTGATAAAATAAATGTCGAGAAAACCTCTAAAGACCAGAAAATTGAATTTGTAGTTTCCTACATGATTTTTAATAGGAGTTCAAGGATAGCCGTATTTGATAAATTTGCATTGATTCCTCATTATACATATCAGGATCCCTTTCTCGAGGAATTATCTTAACCACGAATAATATATGAGCCAACAAAGAAGGAGCCGGCTGAAGATAGGTGTTTTTGATGTTGAATTCATCTTAGCACACTTCAAAACTCGAGGACGAGTTTTTTCCAACCATGGGAGAATGATGGAGGAAAATTATTTTTATTTTTTATTTCTATTCAATTTCAAAGGATGTATATTATAGTTTTAGGGCTTATTTCTCGGGATTGTTATTTTTTTGGAATTCTAGGGTTTTTATATTTATTTATTTCATGAGTATTGTTCACAATTACTGTTCATGAGTACTGCTCATGAGGGAGAAACTATCATTGTGAATTTTAAATTAAGTTAGGATATATGGGACAATGTGCTATTTGTTTGGTAGTGTTTTTGTACTTGGAGCATTAAGTTGTAATATATAAAAAGTGTCTGGGGCTTGAGGGGGTCAATTTCACATGATTTTTAAATATTGGAGGCAGAAAAACTTAGGCTTTTGCAACCCTAGCTTGGGTATGGAGAAGAAACCTTAGCTTTTTTTGAATTGTACTTGTGTTTGGCTTTGTTTCTTGTTGCTTTTACTGCTTCCTCAAATTTCCTTACATCATTTTTCTTCATGAGATAAAAATTCCAACAGTAACGGATCTGATCCACCCGTATGCCCCATGAGGCCATGTCCTTGAATAAACATGGCAATTTGTGTTTTTCAATCCAGGAGACTAGTAGCATCAAGTTTGTTTGGATCAAGTTGAGGCAAGAATGATGTATTAATCGAAGTTGTCATGATGTAGATTCTGTAAGGTAGACTGCAAGATTAGTGTGTCAAGATTAGGGGGAAGAGAGATTTCTAGTGACGGTTTTGATAGTGGAAAAAGGAAGGGTTTTTTGTTTGGGAGTTGGGAAGGTGAAGGGATTGCAAGATTAGGGTTTGCAAAATTAGTAGAGATTTTCTTTAAGGGAGAAGTTTAGGGTATTGAGAGGAAAAAAGAAGAAAAGAAAGCGTTTTGATTAGGTTTTTGCGAAGGGTAATTTAAGAGATTGCATGATGGGATTTGTAAGACTGGTTGCGAGATTAGTTTTATTTTGTTTGATTTTTTGAAGCAAAGATTCTCAGATTTATAGACTTTGAGAGATTAGTGTTTTTTTTTTTTGTCGAAAGAAGTAGATTGTGAGATTTTCAGGTAGGATTTTTTTGGTAGTTCTCAGAATTTCATTTACTTACGAGGCAAGTTTTGCTTGGGGTTTTGTTAGTCTTTAATTAGAAGAAATATGAGGGGAGAATGAAGATTTGATGGGTAACTTTGATGCTTGCTAGCTCCAGAGATCAATTAATCTGCTGTGATTTCATGGAAGAAACTCAATTATGGCTAAGCGACAAGAGAAGAAGCTGAAGCAATGAGGAGGTGGGATGATGTCAACTCTATAACCTTGGAAGGATGGGCATCCAATTTTATTGATATATGTGTTACAAATGAGTTATGATTATATTACAAGACTACTCTTATACATAACGAACATGTAAATGCTGCCCCTATAGGTAATAAATATTACGAAAGTTACATCCTTGCCCTCAAATACTGCCCCTATACGTAATAAATATTACGAAAGTTACATCATTGCCCTTAGACTGTTATTCATAACACTGCTCTGGTCAGGAAGCAATGTTCTGTTACTCAGGTTTCTTGCTGTTTTACACCACTAACATAAGGGTGTTCTTTTTCCACACCTTTGGATATGATGATTGTCCTTTTTTTTTCCCATTTTTCTTGAGAATGATGACTTTAAAATGTGTATAAAGAGAGATGAAGAGAGGCCTTCTCAAAGTACAAAATAGTAACTATGGTGAGATCTCAAGAGTTGCACATTTGACACCTTCTCTAGACAAACGGTAAGCCATAGCATTCCCTTCTTGCAATTGCATGGATTGTAAAATGAAATGAGCATATCTTCACACACCTCCCATATCTCTAACAGTATGTTTACCACTCTTTAAGGTGATGGACACTCCTTACTTACCCATCGAATGACATTGTGGCTCTTGCCTCCATGCCAATAGAAAGTGATCCTGGTTGAAACTATTCACACCCTGCTGGAAAGAATGCTTGCTTCAACATAAGTAGCCACAAACTCCCCAAGGGGGCCTTTAAATGACAAGATCTCCCCTCGGTGAATCCACCAGACTCCACTCCACCAGCGAGATCTGGATTGCGTTGCAAGCACCCGTGAAATCTAGGTCTGTTGAATACCTCCCTTAAAACATATTTTAGCTCTGTTTCGGACGTTGCATAAAACAGAGTTGACATCAGCCCTTTGATGTTGTTTAGTGACGTCTCGGTCTTTCATCGGACACTAGAGCCTGTTGTCTCTCTTTTTACTTTTGACATTTTTGAGTGCCTGCAGATGGTTCAAATTACGTTAAAATCATCCAATCTTAGATCTTCGCTGCGATATAGTTGAACTATAGGTCAATGATTGGCATCTGTCCCCACCCATTCATGGGTATGCCACTCTGAACTTCTGATACTGAGGTCAAACTATCACCAGATATGTGATCATCCTCCAAATGTTCTCCTTAAGAAGTGAACAAAATTTTACCAACCTGGCCACCTGGGCAGGCCAGGGGGCTATCCGAACTGAATGAGCCCTAGGTTAGGGTCTTATCCAGATGTCTCCTAGGGTGCCTGTCCACCTAGGCCGCTCAATGGAGCCCTTGGCCTGAAAAAGGCCCTCCGCCAACGGATTGCAAGTGTTCGATGTGAGTCATATCTCTCTCTCACACACACATACACATTCTTGGAGTGCACACACAGACCCATGTGCTTCCCCCCCCCTTCCCTCTCTCTCTCTCTCTCTCTAAATGTAAACAGAAGCAAAAGAGGAAGACAAACTTCAAATGTTCGATGCGAGATCCCCTTTCTCTTTTTCGAGATTCTTTCTCTATTTCTTATCGACCCAAATGTTTTCTCTCTATATATATAGCAAGAAGAAAAAGAAGAATACGATCTCCAAGTGTTTGACATGAGGTCTCTCTCTGTCTCTCACATGCACACGAACCCATATACTCTCTACATATAAGAAGACAAAAAAGATGACGGCCTCCACTGTTTGATGTACTACCCCCCACCTCTCTTTCTTTCATGGACCCATATGGTCTCTCTATACATATAAAAAGAAAGAAAAGATGGCCACCAATTGGTCAATTTCAAGGCTCTATCTCTCTATACACACACAAACCAATATGCTCTCTCTCTATCTACATTTTAAGAAGAAAAAGAGGAAGATGACTTCAAGTGTTTAATGCGAATCCCCTCTCTCTTTCCCACAGACCCATGTGCTCTCTCTTATGCTACATATAAGAAGAAAAAGAAGAAGACGATCTTGATGTGCATTGATTAAAGCGATGCACGTCGCACCCAAGCGGGTGATCCCTAGGCGCTTGCCTAGAACCCCGCCTAGGCAGTCAACCGGTTACCTAGGCTGGTGCCCAGGGCTCCTAGGTGCAAAAATTTCCATAGGGTGGGGCATTTTTGGTGTTTTGTTTGTTTGGAATTATGAAAAAGCCATGAATATGCATATTTTATTCAACATTTGGATCTAAAACAGGATTGTTGGACATCCCTTGCCCATTTTTGAACCTAGGCCTCCCAAGTTTTGGGTGGCCTAGACTCCCCCGGCTGCCTAGGTGCTGCCCGGCACTTTTTCAGAACATTGTCGAAATGTTTAATATGAGGCCTCTCTATCTCTGACACGTACACATAAATATGGGTCTATGCGCTTTCTATCTCTCTACATATAAAAATAAGGATAAAGAATAGAACCTCCAAGTGTTCGATGTGAGCCTCTTCTCTCATGGATCCATGTGCTCTCTACATGCAAGAAGATGGAGAAAAAGAAGAAGACGACATCCAAGTGTGAGATGTGAGGCCACACACATGGACCATTATGCTCTCTCTCTCTCTC